GACCTCCTTTAGGCATTTGTGTACAATTGCTGTCGACGGATGCGATTCACATGCATCATGTGTGTTCAGTAGGGCTACGTGTACGGAGTATTTTATCAGATTAAGAAAGTAGGAACACTCATATTAACGATACTTCTATTTCTAGGAATTTAAGGGCATTAGAATAATGTAAGACAGGATGTTTTGTTGTCAGGCGGGAGCGGATGAAAATCTATTAATTAAAGTAGCGAATATGGTATCGTATAAAATAACCAACAACAACATCGGACAATATCATTTTATCCGAATGCTACAAATTGGTCTGTGAGAATTTTATTTTAATGAATATTCTAGCCGTGTATAAATTTGCCTCATTGAGAAACTCACTGGCTTGTGATTATATCTGTTTTCACTATCATTGGACATTCATGTACACAGTTTCTTTTGTTAAATTATATTGAGCATGTTGAGGGTTTTATTATAAAGTACATAGGAAACTGTAACAACGGGAGATGCTCCAGACTTTGTGTATGTAAATTACATAGCATTTTCAAGCTCAAGTGATAAGTTTGCTAAATGCTACTTGGAGAATGAAGAGCATGAAAGAAGCATGACCAAAGGACTACTAACGTGCGCATGCGCTTGACCTTATGATATTACGCATGCGCACGGATAGCGTCTAAAACGCGAGAACACGAGAACGCGAGATCGCGAGAAAATGAAATGTCGCATTCTCGCGTTCTCGCGATTTCGTTATTTTGTGGCCTAATTTGACAAGTCGAGATTGCGAGATTGCGAGATTTTGCATCATGTCCAAATGTCGCATTCTCGCGTTGTCGACTTTTGACAAAAAGTGCTATGTACCAAAAACTCGCGTTCTCGCGATCTCGCATTCTCGTGTTTTGGGCATATTTACCTCGTTTCCAAAGGTCGAGATCGCGAGAATGCGAGATCGCGAGAATGTCCCTTACAGTATTCCATATATTTCTGCCTTCAAACCTGCGATTATTTGCAAGTTTGAAACTTGCATTTATAATAACATATTTCCAGGGCGCTTCATTCAATTCTAAGCAAATCGGTTCGCGGTTGGAGTGTTTTCTGGGTGGGAACGTTCATGAGAGCGGGTTGCGTGGGTACGAGCGGTAGAGTGAGTAGATATGGTACAGGAAGGGGAGAGCGGGTAGATATGGTACAGGAAGGGGAGAGCGGGTAGAAATGGTACAGGAAGGGGGGAGCGGGTAGATATGGTACAGGAAGGGGAGAGCGGGTAGATATGGTACAGGAAGGGGAGAGCGGCTAGAAATGGTACAGGAAGGGGAGAGCGGGTACATATGGTACAGAAAGGGGAGAGCGGGTACATATGGTACAGGAAGGGGAGAGCGGGTAGATATGGTACAGAAAGGGGAGAGCGGGTACATATGGTACAGAAAGGGGAGAGCGGGTACATATGGTACAGGAAGGGGAGAGCGGGTACATATGGTACAGGAAGGGGAGAGCGGGTACATATGGTACAGGAAGGGGAGAGCGGGTACATATGGTACAGGAAGGGGAGAGCGGGTAGATATGGTACAGAAAGGGGAGAGCGGGTACATATGGTACAGGAAGGGGAGAGCGGGTAGATATGGTACAGGCAGGGGAGAGCGGGTACATATGGTACAGGAAGGGGAGAGCGGGTACATATGGTACAGGAACGGGAGAGCGGGTACATATGGTACAGGAAGGGGAGAGCGGGTACATATGGTACAGGAAGGGGAGAGCGGGTAGATATGGTACAGGAAGGGGACAGCGGGTAGATATGGTACAGGAAGGGGTGAGCGGGTACATATGGTACAGGAAGGGGAGAGCGGGTACATATGGTACAGGAACGGGAGAGCGGGTACATATGGTACTGGAAGGGGAGAGCGGGTACATATGGTACAGGAAGGGGAGAGCGGGTAGATATGGTACAGGAAGGGGACAGCGGGTAGATATGGTACAGGAAGGGGAGAGCGGGTACATATGGTACAGGAAGGGGAGAGCGGGTAGATATAGTACAGGAAGGGGAGAGCGGGTACATATGGTACAGGAAGGGGAGAGCGGGGACATATGGTACAGGAAGGGGAGAGCGGGTAGATATGGTACAGGAAGGGGAGAGCGGGTAGATATGGTACAGGAAGGGGAGAGCGGGTACATATGGTACAGGAAGGGGAGAGCGGGTACATATGGTACAGGAAGGGGAGAGCGGGTACATATGGTACAGGAAGGGGAGAGCGGGTAGATATGGTACTGGAAGGGGAGAGCGAGTAGAACGGGTCGATACACCGAGTATTTAATATTTTGCTATCTGCATATTGCATGTTTCATAGATTAAATTAAATTAATAGTGACATTGAATATTTGGAAAAGAACAAAACTTTCGAATCGATACATCAATATTTATAACTATCAGCATGTACGTAGCCATGTCTAATATGGTGGTCCAGGTGAGCTACGGCCACATACCCCTGGAGCCGCCAGTATACAGTACCAGGTAGGCGGTTCAAGGGCAAGCGTTCCTGCTTGGAATATCTGTCATGTTGCAACGTGCCATGTGTAGATGGGAGACCGGCGTACCAGTCGATTGAGGCGCCGCACTTCGCTGTGCAGAGTTGCGACCCTTGGGCACGCTGGACACTTTTAATCGTGGGTTCGAATCCCGGTTCGCCCCGATTATGTTTCTAGGTATGTCACCACCGTCCCCGTGCTCGTGGGTTTCACCAAATCGGTAACTACAGTGAATCAATATACAGGGTTTATATACACATGGACGAGACACCTTCAGCTAGAATACTACTTTGAACTGACTGGTCCATATCCATAGGATACAGTGGAATCTTTTGTCCCTGCCACTTTAAACAGAATCACGAAATAAAAAAATATCGTGATTATTAATTAACGAAGCTAGGTGCACTTATTGAGTGAAAACAAGCCATTTCGGCGATAAGGAATATGACTTATAGTAATGACAAAAATTGCAAAGTGTGCTCTTCAGAAATATCCATTTTGCTAGCGACAAACATCATCTGAGGTTTCATCACGTTTTTACGATCCGAGTAAGGATCGACAGTCATGTGGGGTTCGATCCCCGGCCGCGTCATACCAAAAGACGTTAAAAGATGGTACTTGTTGTTACCCTGTCTGGCGCTCGGCATTAAGGGGCTAAAACAAGGACTGGTCTGCTCGGAGTCAGTATACTGTGTCTGAGTGGGGTATTCATGTTAAACTGCGGCATGGTATCTCAGTGAGCTAGCACTATAAATCGGCATCAGTCCGGACTAGTACAAGCAGCCACACAAACACACACACGTACATGCACGTCGCTATATAAGTGCAATAATCTTGGACGCGACGTTAAACCCCATTTCACCTCACCTCACCTCGACAGTCATGTGGCTGCGAGCGGTTATTTTTAGCAGTGCGTGCATATCGACCTTGGTTAATAAATAATCGTGATGTTTCGTGATTCTATTTCAAGTGGCGAGGCAATTGTTGATCTCGTGGCAGCAGTCAATATACCTGTGTTGGCCTGGCATATTTATTAGGGTACACATATGGCCGAATGTCAATATTGTTAGACGATACAGTTTCAATAGAGAGCTTAATTTCTTGCTTGTAGCATCGACGTATATATAATGTATCTACGTTCGTCTTTGCCTGCAGCTCCATTTTCTGTGACTGACGAAATGTCCAACCCGGGCATGTTGGTTTGCTTGTTGTTTAACGCCGTATTCAAATAGTCCCAACTACATGATCATGACGGCGGTCTGTAAATAATCGAATCTGTGACAGACAATCAAGTGACTGACATCATGAGCATCGATCCACACAATTGGGATACGATGACATGTATCAAGCAAGTCAGCGAGCCTGACCACCCCACCCATTCGTCGCTTCTCACCACAAGTATAGTCGCCTTTTACGGCAAGCATTGGTTGCTGAAGACCTATTCTGACCCGGATCTTCCTAACTGTTGTGATGAATGGCCACGTAGGCACTGTCTCCCTGTCATTATTGTGGTAAACTTTCTTACAAGTTACAAATGTCATGCATTTCAGGGTTTACTATAAAACTATAACGGAACAACTGACAACACATCAGGAATAAATTGGTTGGTTGGTTAGTTTGTTGTTTAACGCCGCACTCAGCTATATTCCAGCTATGTAAATGATCGAGTCTGAACCAGATAATCCAGTGATTAATATCATGAGCATCGCTCCACGCAATTGGGATCGATGACATGCATTAACAAAGTCAGCGAGCCTGACCACCCGATCCCGTTAGTTCAGGAATAAGTTGTACTTTCTATTCAGTTCCCCAGAAGACCCATTGACAATTCAGAAAACTATTTCAAACAGACTACGGTGGTGGTTAAATGAAAATAGATGGGGGAAGTCCCGGTGGAGCATGTTTTGTTTTCTTTCTTTGTTGTTTAACGCCGCACTCAGCAATATTCCAGCTGTATGATGGCGGTCTGTAAATAATCGAGTCTGGACCAGACAATCCAGTGATGGACATCATGAGCATAGATCCAATGCAAGTCGGATACGATGACATGCATCAACCAAGTCAGAGAGCCTTGACCACCCGATCCCGTCAGTCGCCTCTTTTACGGCAAGCATAGTCACCTTTTACGGCAAGCATGGGTTGCTGGTGGAAAATCAATGGTACATACATACATACATACATACATACATACATACATGCTGGAAAATCAATGGTACATACATACATACATACATACATACATACATACATACATACATGTACATACATGTACATACATGTACATACATACATACATACATACATGTACATACATACATACATACATACATAAACACCTCGGGTGTGCTTTGTCTTTCATATAAATTCTCGCCTCACGCACCTTGATATCAATTTCAAATGTCAAGCGTCAACACTCTCTCCACAAGCAATCTCTTCCACTGTACAATTCCGACTGTTAGCACATTTGTGCAACCACCTAGACATGGACCACACAAAGCGAAACAGTCTTTTGTCCGCGATGGTAATGGATGTATGGCGCCATTTTGTCACTCGCTGGCTCATCGCGCGTTTGCTTTGTCCTCCATTCATGGAATACGAGAACATGTTACCACAGAACGGCCATAAACACTGTCCTTAAATCTTAGTGTCACAGAACTACCCTTGGTTATAAATCAATATCCCGTATTACCTCCATGGCAAGATGCGACGCACGTCTGCTGTGGTCGTGATGGGCTTGGTCTTTCTTGTTGGAATCATTATATTTCATGCAGGAATTGGGAACTATTTTCAGGTAAGTGAACAACCTTATTTAAAACGTCCATGTGCAACACCAAGACGAATGACTCAGTATAAACTCAGGAGACAGAGAGTGCTGGTGTGTGGGTCAAATATGTCAACATTTTCAGAAAACATGGTTCAAATTCCACACTCCTGTAGCTTTGTAATAAACATAAATGATAATCAGCTAATTTAATGACACTAATTCAGATATTTGTCAAAATGTAAAATTATTTATAGTATAAATGGACTACATGATCACCTGACAAAGTTAAAATGAATATCAAATAATTTCGAGCAGGCTTCGTTAGTAGTATGAATACTGCTGTCATCAAGCAACTCATTCAGACCATATGTTGCGGCAGTTTTGACGAAAATCAATGGTAAAATTAACAACAGATTGCCCACGACTCACTGATTGTGTCAGACACAATACACGGGGCACACTTTGACCGGGTTTAAAATATGTGCGATAAAATTTATTGCTTTATCTTCGACCTTATGACTCGAGTTTATTGATTTTATTAAAGTTTGTAATTTGTGACACTTACCGATCATTTTGGACTATTTTTCTCAGTATGAAATTGAAATTGAGGTGGCTGCTAAAACTTCCTTTGTTTTCAACAAGACACCACAGGCAAGCCCAGTTGTAGTTTCTGATCTCGCCCTGTACTGTACCCAATCCCCCCCCCCCAACCCCCCCCCCCCCTCACCAAACAGGCTATTTACCTCATTATCCACCGGAGCTGGTGACACAGACATTGCGAGATAGGCTCCCTGTCCAACACGGCCTTGTATAGCCTTTTGTTCACATGCACTCATTCATAACATGCCATTCAATTTAATTTCAAAGCCGTGAAGTTATGTTATAAAGGTTTTGTGTGTGACCTGTATCAGCCTTGTTCAATAAATCTAGCTGGCAGGATGCAATGTGGTGTATATATAGACACGGATAGGATAGAAGAAACATGCAACATTATGGAAAACAACTCCTTGTTTATTGCGTATTGCGACGTTTCGATGGAGATTCTTACACCGTTATCAACCGTCGGTCGGTTGGTTGATTAAATTCATAAACGGTCTAAACTCAAAATAAATTCAATAGATAGGAGACTCTGTAGCTTGTTTATTACAGTACAGTTGTGAATTTCTGCTGTACAATGAGTAGGGAGCTGATCGTTGTTGGTTATGGTTAAAGGATATTAATGAACTGTGATGTTGATAACTGGCGCACCTCTTTGTGGAATGATAGAGGAAAAATAGATGAAAACCTAGAGAAAATTTTACGTATGTGTATCGCCAAGCCTTCAATACCTCTTCCCGAGAGGCATTATACATAATACATTTTATCCAACACTATACATATTACTAATATGGTAGACGAATACCATCTGAAAATCCAATGTAACTCTTATAATGACTTGCGTTTAATTCTTTTTAATTCCACATTTGTACATAATTCTTTATTTTATAATGGTAATGAGGTAGAGAAGTTTGTATTGTCATAACGTGCGGCTAACGGGATGGGTAGTTTGATGCTTTATCGTAATCCCAACTGCGTAGGTCGATGCTGAAGTCAATAACTGGATTGTCTGGTCCAGAGACTCGATTATTTGCAGACCGCCCTCATATAGCTGGAATATTGTTAAACAACAAACCAACAACCATGAAATGTCTCTCAGAAATCAAGAATGTGTCCATTGTCACTCTACATCGTACCTTAAGAATGACTTTGTGTCAGCTACACTGACGTGGCGTGTTCTCTGTATAAACCACGGGCGGTTTCACGAATGAATGAATTAATGAAAATAACTGAATGTGATAACGGTTTACACGAAATAACCCCGCCAAAATTTGAATGAATAAATAATTGCAAAAACGAATTAATCGGGTTATTTAAAGAGTTTACGCCAAAAGAGCACATACTTTGTTACAAGATGATAATGAAGATCACAGCAGGTCAAATTTAGAAAGGCTTGGTTTGACATTGTCCCTTTATATAATTATCACCATTATTTGGCCTTATACCCCCGCCCATTGGAATCTGTTTCGGCTGATAATCGTGACTGCTTATTTTCTGACGTTGACGTTCTATATTACATGATTATAAAACTGCCAAGACAACAAATCCAATATTGCACACACACACACACACACAAACACACACACACACACACACACACACACATATATATATACTACAGTTATAACGAACTTGGAAGCGACCACTAATTTTAGTTCGTAATAACCGTAGTTCGTTATAAGCATATATACAGCATTTATACAACATATAGTTGAATGTTATAACATAATAAGTTCGTTATATCGGTCAGTTCGTTATGTGCGTGTTCGTTATGACCGTAGTTTATTGTATATGACTACGGTGGGCCTCTTTTTCACCACGCCTGATTTCGACATCGTAACAGTTTAGTTACTGATCCCATAAACTCACGACCAGGATCTACTTGAAATAACTTAGGCCATTTTAGTGGTCCGCGTTTATATATGCGACTCATTGCATTAGCTACTTCTGTTGAATCTTTCGAGGTTAATGGTTCAGCCTCCATGTAGTGACTAGCCACATCCACTACGGTTAAAGCGTATTTATATGTTTTGTGTCTTACCTTATCATGGGGACATGAGGTCAGCCTGATGAACTTCATTCGTTGTAAAAATATCAAACTTCCTCCTCGGCATATAACGCGGTGCCGGTAAGTATATTTGCCACACCGCTTGTTTCTTTAGCCAATCCTTGGCCACATCTTTAGATACCTCAGCCGCAGTGGCTAATTTTTGGATTGCTCCTTTACCTTTCCAATATCCTCGTGGTCTATAATAAATTTTATCCATAATTAATTAATATTGATGATTTTTTTAATACGACTCATGACGATCGTTGAATCACATAATCGTTCTTGTTTCAAAACTTCCCTCTGTAGTGGCAGTATAGGTATGTAAATCGGGCTCCAGTGGAAGTGGTCCAGAACCATCATTACCTATACTACTCACATGCATTGACGTCCTAACATAAATCGTAAGATATATCCCACATACTTGCACATACGGTAAAAGTGTTTGTTCTTGCTGAACCAGAGCATGTAATGTTGAGTTTGTCAATATCTATATGAAGAGTGTTGCGTCCTTCTCATGTAGGCCATTGGTCTACTGCCGTACCATCCTTTTCCTCGATTATGCCCTACGATTCGATTTGAAAAGGGGTCGTAAAAGATGTCGATTTATATCTACAATACCCATGCCTCTGTCAATGTCTGTTTCTATTTTAGATCTCCATTGAAAAACTGTTTGAAACGATTTGATACATGTTTTATTGTAATCAGTATTGGGTGATTTTATTTTTGCGAACACCTGGCGTAATCACTGATTTTCAGTGATCCATTCTTATCATTTTCACCATTTTGCCTTTTAGACTTAAAGGTGTCCTGTTAAGGCAGATTATTTCGAGGCAAATTTTTCTTTGGCGTTGACATAGTATATCTATTTAATATTTATTTATTCATTTATTTATTTATCTGTGTGTGTGTGTGTGTGTGTGCGTGTGCGTGTGTGTGTGTGCGTGTGTGTGCGTGTGCGTGCGTGCGTGTGTGTGTGTGTGTGTGTGATGGTCATGTTTCAGGTACGAATGTACGAGATAGCTATTTTTTCTTTGGCGTTGACATAGTATATCTATTTAATATTTATTTATTCATTTATTTATTTATCTGTCTGTGTGTGTGTGTGTGTGTGTGTGTGTGTGTCGCTGCATGATGGTCATGTTTCTCTTACGAATGTAAACAGATAGTGTTACACTGGATGTTTGGAGATTTAGTTATTGCGAAAAAAAGAAGCCCGAAGTTAGCTGAAAATTGTTAACTAGTTTGTGATAGGAACATGATATTTATCATGTGACGCTAATGTGGCGAGCGTCGTTGCAAGCGATTGTTCACATTGAAAGAAACTGGTCTCAACAGGTTTATTCTCCGAGCTTTTTGAGTATTTTTATAGAGTTATGTCCCTTTGCAAGAACCATTAAAATACGGACAATACCTAGACGGAATGCTCCGGACAGAGCCGATGTTACAGGTGCATATACATTTTATGTGTAAGGTTATTTGACGGATGGTACAATCGTCACAATTGCATAGTTTTGTACTTATGAAATGAAACCATATAATCCTTCACGCCTTTTTGACAAATTGTCTAGTTTAATGTGTCCTCATTGGTGAAAAAAACCATTAAGAATTCCTCCTGAGTCACTTTTGTTTTCAATAAAAAATTAAAATGAAAAATCCCTGCTCTCCTTACGTTTGAGATATATTTGACTAAGAAACATTCTGTTTCGCAGCCTAAGAAATCTCAAGTTACCTCCGATATTTATGTAAATATCCATCTAAAAATATCTTCCTAATGTTTTGTTTGTTTGTTTTTTAACGCCGCACTCAGCATTATTCCAGCTATATGACGGCGTCCTGTAAAATAATCGAGTCTGGACCAGACAATTCCAGTGATTGACACCATGAGCATCGATGCACGCAATTGGGATCGTATCTTTATAATGCAATGTACTTACAAGCGTCTTATGATAACACTAGCTTCATATATCAGAGGTCAATGTATGTATTACTTTATGACTGTACTGTTTAATCGTGTATTTTGTAAATGACTATTTTTTAAAAAGCCCCATATTATATATGTACTTCCAGCTCTTATAATGTCAGCGAACATGATATTTCTGGCAATAGCGTATTTGGGTACATTCAAGAAAGAAGTGAATATTTTTTTCACATGGATTTCACAAGAGCAGGACAAAGTATCAGATAAATTTACTTTGAAAAGATCTGCGTTTAGGGAACGACAAGAGTGTCTCAGACGTGAACGTAAAATGTCAGCTCTTCGGTTGCCAGTGAATACAACGGCAGTCGATTTAGATTTAACATAAAATGAGATTTTTTGGCCATGGTGACACAGATATATAAAGAAAAATATTTTTTGATGAAATTGTTTGTTTTTTCAAAC